GGCAAGTACTGTTTATCTCTGGTCTGTTCTCAACTGCCAGTAATTTTGAAAGCGCACAATAATGGACAACTTTAACATCAAAGCTGGCTTTTGCCATTCTCACATCTTATGAGTGGCATACTAGGTGTAAGATAACATGAGTGCATATTCTTATAGCTGTCTCAGTCAAGTTAAGCCACACTAAAATCGGACAATGTTATTGCAGTCCTTGTATTTGCTGTATGATAATAAAATGCAGAAATTGTAATAAAACGGTTGTAAAAGCTTGATTCTTCTTTCTTTCCTTTTTTCATTACTTGTAAGAGTCTAAAATTTCACTTTTCCCCCCTCTAAGCTATAAGAGAAGCTGGAGTTAAAAATGCAGTTTTAAACTTTATTTAGTTTAAATCCTCATGGCCCCATTATAGGGCAGTGTTGAATACTGGTCACTGAAGCTCATGTTTTCAAATGCATTTTAGCTCAATTGGTGTTAAAAGATGGATGTCAACATTGGGTCGTTGTCGTCGTCGTCTAGCACTTTAGAGTTTCACCCAAGATGAGTTCAGTCCAATCAAGATTTAAATCCAGGCAGGAAATGTATAATAAGCACATGAATGGGGAGGCATTAAGTACCTTGATTTCTTAACAAAGGTCATATAAACCTCACGATTCTGTCAAGCTGAAAAACTTTAGGTTTTATGCCTACATCTGGTCATAGTGCTACTATTTACAATGTTGCCAGAAGAGGGCAGTGTTCCCTTAACATTTGTGCTTAGGCTCCTGCTGTGTATACAGGACTGTGCAAACTAATTTACAAAGAGCCAAATCTTTGTGTGTTTTGGTTCAATGAAACTGGACAAGATGACGACTACCTGAAATTCATGTGAGTAGGGGCAAACAAAAACAAAGCCACTTGCTGTTGATGGAAATTTCATCAGAAATGATCTCAGTGGAAGGGTGGCTTTTCATGGGGAGAAAAGACTGAGGTAATCCAAATTACACAAGAATCAAGACCTGTACAACAGTAAGTGTCTACAGCCATCTGTAAAACACAGTGGAGACTCTATCATGGTTGGTGCTTCAATTCAGCCAATGATGTTCGAGATCTTATCAAGACTCACAGAATTATAAATGCAGAAAAGTGCCAACAGATTTTGATCCACCATACACTACTACCTGGAAGGCATCTGATTGGCAATGGCTTCATTGTTCAGGATGACAATGATCCCAAACGCACTACCAATAAAGTAAAAGCATAGCTGGATAGGAAAACACACAATGAATCACTATCAGTCATGCATTGGCCTCCCCAGAGCACAGACCTCAACATTATTGACACTAACAGAACAAAAGGCAGCCAGCATCCAAAGAAGAGCTTTTCCTTCAAAAGTCTAGAGAAGAAAAAAGAAATGACAAGAAAACATGGTGAAGAGAGTTCAGACCACTTTAAAGACTAAAGGTGAACACACCAAATATGAACTTTTAATAGAATTGAAACTCTGTTCTTGCTTTATATACAATAAAATCACACTCATTTCCTATTTCACAAACAAAATTTAAAGAAAAATACTGTTATTATTATTACCCACTGGTGTAGCATGAGTTTAATGTACCGTTGCATGGACTATAGCTTCAACAGCAGACTTACAGGGTTTTGTAACAGATTATGTACTAAAGCAAGGAGGATTTGGATTCGTCAGAGCAAAAAGTATAAGCACGCAAACAGGATTGGTCTCATTTGTGACGTTGACATTGCCAGCCTTTAAAAACAGAAGTCTCCAAATTTATGAGAGGATGACTCTAAATGTGGCCTACTTTTGCTCTGTAAAAGTTTGAGTATGCCAAAAAGTATTTCCCTCATCTACGAGTTGTAAAAAAAAGATGGAACTCACACAGGATAGTTTCTTTAGCTTCTGGAAGGGAAGAGAGGAAAATCTTGAGCAAACGTCTCAGTCGCTGAGTTTAACTCCTTTTTCAAAAACCACCTTTGTTCCTTACCCCTCTACCCTCTTCTCTTTGTACTGCTTTTTCCTAAAAAAGTGCATCCAAGACTCAAGTAATACGTAGACAAACATGCATATATATTTAGCTTTGTTGCCTATCCCCTTTTCTTCAGAAACGACATGAACTTTCACATTTTTATACACACGTTTCATAGGAAACACAAGTTCTGCTGTCGTTGTGGTTTCTTGCACACAGGCATGCAGCGAGACTCGCATGCGGCTGAGTCTCGCATCCTGATTTTTATTGTCAGGGCCTTTGGGGTGGAAATGCGTGCCCAACAAATACTTTGGTCTTTACTGATTAAAACTGTGGCCTCTACTTCCACACTCGCAGACTTTACATTTTCTTCCACAGTGCTGTTTAAGGTTGTCACAAATTTGAACCACAAATGTTGGGTGGGCAAGAAAGAAGAAAAACAAAGAAGCCTTCAAAAATAAGAACATAATATTCAGTCAGACTTTGCTCCTTTCTTCCCTTTTCAAGCCTTTTATTGTGTTTTCAAACACAAAGTGCTGACAGATGCATGCAAGGGAACGTCCAGAGTTCTTAAAGTGGGTCGTTTTTGTTCGCTGAGCTCTCTCAGTTTTTGCTCAGATCTTTAAAGGTCAGGGAAGGTGGAGTTGGAGCTAGATGACCTGACCTTGTGTCTTCTGTTTTGCTTCTCTGAAGGCCTCAGGGACTGTCTGCTTTCAGGGAAGAGTAGATAAAGACTAAACTTCACACATGCACATGTGCTCATTTCTTAACTCTTTTATTTTCATAACAAATGTTTATTTTGTACTTTAACTGAAAAATGATCTGTGTGCTTCTAAAACCTGATCTGCTCTTCATATGACGTCTTCCTGAATAAATGTCAGCATCTTCAATCTCTTGTCTGCCTCCTAAATCATTTTTCAGCTTTGTCATCACATTTCTATGATCCGCCATCCTGTCCTCCGACCAGCAAAGCTGACCCGTGGTGTTTCTCTGTGTGAACTGCCCTACACAAGCTGTCATTGTCCCATTTGGACTGGAAAAGCGAGGTGTCAACACTAAGGAGGTAAAACTTTCCAGGATTCGTCGTCCGTTGTTCCTGGCAGAGAGGGCGACGGAGCTAAAATTCAGGGCACCCGTTTGGGTCTGAGCCTGAAACTGAGTGCTTTAGAGAGGGAGCTCTTCAGCAGGCACCGCGAGCCAGGAACCAGGCAGCAGGGTTTTGTGGGAAACTTTGTCCATCTCATTTTTGTTAAAAAAAAAAAAGACCAGACACACAAACAGAACTTGAACATAGTAGAAAGGCACGCAATGTGCTTCTTCCTCTGGTAGCGCTTCGTGTGATCGTTGACATTTCTACAAGTGAAACACTGTGAAAAGTCTGTGCTGCAAAGAAAAGAAAGGAAAAGACTGTTTTAGCGAGAGGGTGTGACGGTGTCTGGTTAATTCTTTGCAGTTATGTAATAGTCACTCGCACCAGTGAGTCCAAAGGCTTGTGGACATCGTTTAGGCAGCAGAGTGTGATAAATCACTGCAGGCCTGGGGTCATTTGGGTTTATGTGGGACTGATCCAAGCTTGACAAATCCACACGAGCTCACTGACTTTTCATTTAAAAAATGAAAAGTTCACCACACTGCCAACTGTAGCTCATGAAAGGATGCTAACTGTAGACCTAAGATCCCTTCTCTCTATAAAGTGAACAATAGTTTGTGGATAACTTTTCATATTCGTGGATATATAACACCCGTAGTGTGTTCTTTTAATCTTAAAAGTGAGAAGTTTTGAACTCAGACATTTTCTTTGTATGTATTTTCCTTTTCCATATCCATCATTTTTTTAAGCTGCTTCCTCTGTTTCTCTAGTATTCGTCTTGGCAATTAAGCTTGAATGAGATTCAATCATTTCTTTGGATTTAATCAAGAGAGCGGATAAGTTTTTCTGTCAAAAATTGGCTGTCTTCTCTTCTCCTTTACAGAGTCAGCACTCGGCAGATCCTTTTTGGCTGGGTACTCAGGATGTCAGAGGAAAGAAACTGAAAAGAAACAGAGAAACTGGAGGACACCCAAACACTGGAGTATTAAAATACAATAAGGTGCCTTCATCTGCAGCAGACTTGACTTCCTTATGGGATGGAGCTATTCCCGGTCTAAAGTGACCATGCCCAAAATTATGTAGCTCCTGGTGGTCTTGTAGAAGAAAATCCGTAAACACATAAATATTGTTCCAATGTCTTAAAAGAGCAAACAGACAGTAACGTGATGGGCAACTTGTTTTTTCTTTCTCTTTCTTAAAAGATTAGCATTCATCACACTACATACAACCCTGTGAGCTTCGTGCTGAGTTTCTAAATATAAGTCAAACTGTGAGTAAATACTCATTAAGTGCTTCTTATAGACTATAAGCAGAAAATGGGTTTAGTTTTCTCTGAATGTATAAAATTGTCTGACAAAAATTACACTGCTTCTTACTCACACTTTTTCTTAATGGGTCTTAGTCTTAGTTGATGGTTTCTACTTTTCTGCAGTACACTATATTTATTTTTTATGGACACATTTAGAGTAAAATACAGAATATAGAATAAAGAATAAGGAAGAAAATTTTACCTTATGGTTTTCTCAATCAAGCACATCCCTTGTTCATGACATACATTTTTAAAACAAAACAAAACAAAAAAATCGGAAAAAATTAAAGAAGAAATATTATGCTGATATTTTTCAATAATAATCCACAAACCAATTGGTAACAGAACTACC